TGATGGCCGAGGAGTCGAATTGCAGACTCAATATGAAATGAATGCACATATAAACACAACAAGACCTAAACTCCATCATGGATAATCCGGAGTGTCGGTGACTGGGAATTGAGACACGTTCCGTCACTCGAGTACGAAGCGTCCCTCGTTTCCCGTGCTCGGGCTAACTCCTATCCCAAGCACAATGCAATATGCATGACATGCATGAATGCAACTAATATACAATCTAGCATGACAATGCTATGAGATGGCATACACATGCACGATGTAACAAGGCATACACAATGCTCTAACATACAACCTAGCATACGCAATGCTATGAAATGAAATGGCATACACAATGCACAATGGACTTACACCAACATGAGTGGACCTCAGCCACACTCACATCAGTAGCCATGAGATGAAAATGAGACACTCGAAATGCGTGCACACATGCACGCAAACCGAGGACCAAGCCTAAGGCATCAAATGCCACTCTACCCAAAGCATGGCAAGGCATGGAACATGATATGCAAACATGCGAATTTCAGCGCTGAAATATGATACAAAATAGCCCCGAAACATGGAAACATGGCACCCGATGCATGGAATGAACCCTGAAACTCGAAACTAGGCACATGGAATGACTTATAGCTATACAAAGCATGCATTATTTGATCATGAAGAGTGAAGAAAGAGGCAATAAATTCCCAAAAAATGCATATTTCTAGTTTATAACAAGTCTCAAAAATGAACACAAATAGAGCTAATCTATCATGCAAAAATGGCCCTAAAAGAGAGATTAAACACAAGGGACAGAAGCTGACCCCAAATGGAAAATATCTCTTCAACAAAGTTGAAGAGGGGCTCAAAACAAGTGACTTTATAGTTTACATCAAGCCACAAAAATAATCACAAATAAGGCCAAACTATCATGCAAGAAAAGGCCTAAAAGAGGGGTAAAGAGACAAGTGGTAGCTTTTGTTCTCAAACATAAGAGATCCCTTCAACAAAGTTGAATAGGGGCTCAAAAAAAGATATTTCACAATTTATGGTTAAGTCCAAAACAGCTCACAAATAAGCCTAAAATACTATGCAAAAATTGGCCTAAAAGAGAGATAAAGAGGCAAGTGATAGTATGAGACATCAAACAGAGGAGAGCCCTTCAACAATGTTCAAGAGGGGATCAAAAAAAGTTATTTTACAGTTTATGATCAAGTCCAAAACAACTCACAAATAAGCCTAAAATACTATGCAAAAAATGGCCTAAAAGAGAGATAAAGAGGCAAGTGATAGTAGGAGACCTCAAACAGTAGGAGGTCCTTGATCAAACATGAAAAGGGACTCAAAATACGACTATTTACAGTTTGGGTCAGAGCCCAAAAAAGCTTGCAAGTATGGCTTAGATAGCATGCAAAAGGGACTCACCCTTGTAGCCTAGGTCTTCAACAACTTTTGGTCCAAGAAATGATGCTCCTAGACTCTGGAGATAGCCTTCAAGTTTCCGGAATGGAGGTGGAGGGGTGGTGCTATGGATTGGTGTAGAAATGGCCAAGAACCAATGGTGTTTTGAGGGTTGGAATAGAGAGAGAGGGAGATTTAATGCAAGAGCTCCAAACAAATTTTTGTAACCCTCAAACAAGGAGCTGAGGGGCTGGTTTTATAGAGGAGAGGAGTGGAGAAAAGCGGGGAAATTCAAATTCAAATTTCCCCCCCAAAAGACCCCCCCTCGGATATAGGATCTGAGGGGAAACAGAGGGTACAGCTGTAAGGAACCAGGTGAGAGGGTCATGGCCGGCCAGGTTCAGAAGGTTCAGGGGGCCGGCCGGCCAAGGGTCAAAAGGGTCAATGAAGATTGCTGGCTGGCCACCTCAAAAAGGTGGCCTCCCATGTGTGCACAACACAACTATGTAGTCAAAAACCCAGAAAAAGTGAACCAGGAGAGAGAAAAGCCAACTTCTTAGAGGGGTTCAAAAGGGTCAAGGACAATTACTGGCCAGCCTATACATATTGGTGGCCTCCTAGGTGTGTACAACACAAATATAGGGTTTAGGGCTAAAGAAAGTGGCCCTGGGGTGGTCAATATTAGCTTTCATGTGAGGAAAACGAGCGACGGAGAGTGATGAAGAAATAAAGCTGGCTTTTCAGAACAATTGCTGGCCTCCCACCCTCCTACAAGCTTCCTAACTATGAAAATAAGGTCTCCACCAAAAATGAACCAAAACGGATGCAAAGCGGAGGTTTGGGGGACCGAAACGCGCGGCCTGAGGCCCCGAAAATGGGCTGTTAAGCACCGGAGGTGGCGTTCGACCACGAAGTTGGTCTCTTGGGCCACAGTGTTCCTCAAAAGGGAGGAAATAAGGTGTATACCAAAAACCAGAGCAAACAGAGGTGGTTAGGTGGTCCCAAACCGAGGCACACGGCCGTCGGCTCCAAAAAATCGAAAAATCGAAAACCAGGCTCCAAACGGAAAAAATGGCCTACGACCACGAAACGTAGCCTACGGCCACTGAGAGGTGGTCTACGAGACCTCTCCCTCCCTTCGGGAAGAGAAAATAGAGAAAACAGAGCCTGGTTCGCAAACCGAGGCAAGGCACGAAAGAGTCCAGAAGTCCGGAGGCAAGGCTCGCAGCCGGGACTCTGAAACTTCTGAACGAGCACAATATGCAATATCACTGAGCGCTCAATCAGTGACGTCTGAGTCTTAAGGTCGGTCAAAAATGGGGTGTCTACAACTGGTTTGAAGACGAAAAGAGAGACAAAGAGATAGTATACTAGTTTTGGAGATTAGAGAAAATTGTTCGATGTTCAGTGATCGATTTGAGAGCAGAGAGAGAGACGCTCTTGAGCGCAAAGATGGAGACAAAAAGAGAAAGACGACACCATCTCTCAGCCGACTGGTTTGAGGAGAGAGAGAGAGAGAGAGAGAGAGAGGGAGAGAGAGAGAAGGGGCTTCTGTCTTGAAAATAACAAACGATCATTCTAGAGGATGATCTCAATCATTGGATTGTTATGTAATCAATAGCTGAAATCTTGTTCAGTAATCAACACCCAAGATCAGTCCAAGTGTGCTATTTTGTTCAGTAAAAAAATAAAAAATAAATAAAAACACAAGTGAAACAGAACCACAACGGCTATAAGTAAACGGTCAAATTTTTGAAAATTCTCAACGACTACATTTAAGGGGAAAAAAAGAAAAGAAAAAAAAGGTCATATTTTATAATTCTATAAATACAAACCCTTTTTTTTTTCTCAATTTAATTTCACAACAAACCTCCCAAATTACATTTTTATTTATAGTTTTTTCACATAATCACTGTGAAAGGTTCATCAAAAACAAAGAAAAGAAAATCATTCACCATTGATGAAGATGTGGCACTTTGTGAAGCTTGGTGTCACATTTCTGAAGATCCAATTGTTGGCAATTTGCAATCTTATGCTCACTTTAGAGGGAGAATTTATGAAAATTATTGCTCACTTCAAAATGATTAGTCAAGAACATAAGTGTTTATCCAATATTAATAGGGTATAATCATGAAAGTTCTAACAAATTCCGTGGGTGTTTAGCACAAGTCGAAGATCTACATCCAAGTGGGATGTCTCAAAGTTGATATAGTTAGATTTCATCTTCATTTATTATGTTAGTTTATATATATATATATTGTCTCATATAAAAATTAACTAATTAATTAATTAAATATTTTATTGATACAGATGCTTCAAGCAAAATTTTTATATTATCAAGATGAAAAAAAAAAACATTTTGCGTTTGAATATTGTTAGCCAATCTTGCAGAATAATATCAGGTGGCAAGATGTAGCTCCTACGAACACAGTGAAGTCAAGGATACATACACCATTTTCTCTTAATTCAGCCCCCGAATCCTCTATAGATAACTGCATTTCTCTTGAAAACGATAACAATCCAAGTGTTGGTAATAATTCAATTGGCGAGGGTAGTGTCTCTACAAGGGGTAAAAGGCACATGGGTAGGAAATCTGCAAAAGAATTGCTTCAGGCTGAAGTCCACAAATATAACAATTTGTTGGAGACATTTAACCAACACCTTGCTGAGAAAGAAATGAAAAAAGCTGAAGGAGAAGAAAAAATGATTCAAGTGATAGAGGAGATGAAAGAACTGGAGATCAAAAAAGAAGAATATTTGCAGGAGTTGAGAGAACTTGAGATCAAGAAGGAAGGACGTTTGATAATGGCTACGAACATTTCTCATTTGGATCCTCAAATGAAAGCGTATTACATAATGTGCAAAAATGAGATTTTAGTCAAGTGGTCCGTACATGTCAGCAATCCCAATTACTTTTTTCCCCTGCCTTCATGATGAATAATTACGAGAAAATGTATTTTTTTATTATTTTGCAATGTCATTTATTTGTCTTTTATTTGTCAATGTAATTTTGAGTATTTTTAATGTTTCAATATAATTTTCTTTTTGCAATTTATTGTTGACTATTTTTAGTATAATTTAAAATTTTCAATGTTATTATGAACAAATAAATATATTATTGAAATGAAGGCAATAAAGTTACAAATGAAGAGAATTTTATTAAAATAAAAAGACATTACATGACAATAAGTGTCATTAAAAAGATAAAATAAAACTTAATGTTACTTTCTAGATCGGGACCACAAGTATTCAATTAGATCATTACGAATTGCATTATGGGCTTCAGTAATTCTAATCCTTTGGTGATTCAACATAAATTCAGCATACTCCTGATTTGGATCGTGTGACACTTGACATGGGGTATTAGTAATATCAGTTTCCAGTAGTACTGCACTGTGTTTGTTTTCTGGAATATTACGTTCGTCTTCAATGATCATATTGTGCAAAATAATGCATGTTTTCATGATATAGTATAGATCTTCATCACTCCAACCTCTTGCCGGAACTCTAACAATATTAAAACGTGCTTGAAGCACTCCAAATGCCCTTTCGACATCTTTCTGACATGCCTTTTTTGTATCCTTGCAAATAGTTGTCTCTTTAAACTATTGAGGTTAAGATATTGTTTTCACAATCATTGCCCAACAAGGATAGATACCATCAGCAAGATAATATGTCACGGTGTATGCGTGATTATTGATGTAGTTGGTAGTAGGGGCACGTCCTCTAGTTAATTCAGAAAATAAAGGCAATATGTCAAGAACAGTAATATCATTCAGAGAGTTAGGCATGCCAAAGAAAGCATGCCAAATCCACAAGTTGTAGGAAGCGACTGCCTCGAGTATAACTATTGGTTTGTGGTAGTGGCTAGTGTAAACACTTGCTTGGGCGGTTAGACATTTATCCCAATGCCAGTGCGTACAATCTAAACTCCCTAACATTTCAAGAAACCCACGTTGCTCTTCTACTTGTAATAATCTGGCGACATCTGACTCATTTGGGGATCTTAAGTAAACGCCTTCATAGATAGCAACAATCATTTTGGTAAAGAAATTCAAAGCGACAATTGCAGTAGTTTCGCCGATTCTAATGTACTCGTCTACAACATCAGCAAGTACACTGTATTGTAGAATCTGAAGTGCAGCAGTCATCTTTTGTACACTAGATAATCCAAGAGCACTAGTGGCATCATGGGTTTGGATGAGGTACTCATTGACTTGTTGAATATCATGTAAGATACTAAGAAATAATGATTGCCTCATTCAAAAACGTTTTCGGAAGTCTTCTTCTAGGTAGACAAGATTATTTGCAAAGTAATCTCTATAAATTTGTTCGTTGCCTTTGACCCTCTAATGATTAATGTATCGACGGCCTCTTCTGGAACCAACATGTCCTCTTGGTTGGTTTAGGGTTATTGCTTGTATTCTTTGTTGTTGCGCTGTTAACAGTTGCATCGTCATTATATCATCAGATGATGATGAAGATTCATAAAAATCTCCATTAAAGAGGCTTTAATGAAATTGTTCATTGTGGGTAGGTGAATATGAAAATTATAGAAAATTTTGTGGGTGGGTATAGAGAGTTTAGAAGATATAAAATTTGTGGATAGGTGAATATGAAAATTGTTGAAAACCTTGTGTTATAATTTATATAGAAAATTGTGGGCGGGTAAATGATGAGTAGTTGTTGGTAAGTGAATGGTGGTTGAATAATGGATGGTTGTTGGGTAAGTGGTTGTTAATGAATGAATATTGAATGAATGATGGATGATTATTGGTGGGTGGTTGTTGGTGAATGAATACTGGGTGAATAATGGACGGTTGTTGGTGGGTAGTTGGTGATTATTTATTTTTTAATATAGTTGATAATTTTTTTTTTAGTGGTTTGTTTTTTGGTGGGGTGAATTATATTTAAACTCTTTTTTGGGAATTTTTTTTTCATCTTTTATATTTGTCTAGTCAGGTATAATGTAAATATATAATTATTATTATTTTTTTATTTTTTTTTACGAACAACTGAAAAAAGGATACAAAAGACAAAAAATAAACAAGAAAAAAAAAATACTAAAAAACCTATATCCAAACAACACCTACACACTTGGAGGGAAAGTTGGTTGAGATTTGTCAAAATAGCATGTAACCATTGGAGTACCATTGCTATAATTTGGCAAAATAGCACTATTCATTGCCAAATTATAACAATGGCAATGCTATTTTAGCAAACACCATTGGAGATGCTCTATAAAAAAGGCGTTCCAATGATAAATTCACTTTTTCAGCCATTCAAATACTTTGTTCATAAGAACAAGTGTTTCACAAACCTCTCTCTCTCTTTTTCTTTGTTATTGCCCGTTGGTCTCTCTCATCTTCTCTGTCACCGTCTCATCATCATCAACATAATCATTATCAGAAGCCAGATCTTCCCTATACTAGTTTAGTTGTGCTGTTGAACGATGTTGGTCCAACGCCGACTTGTGACGATTATTGTTGGTGGTGCTCCGCCCTCTTTTCGATCGACTTCGGTATGAATCTCTGTAGGTCCTTATGCTCCTTTCTTGAACCATCCGATGAAGATTGACCTAGCTATTCTGACTGTCGCCACCGCCGCCAACACAGATCTTGTGAGGCCCCTAACCTTTGTAAAATCTATTAAAGTCCTTGACTTTTGAATTCTTTTAATAAAGACCCTCACATCCTTATTTGTCTTCAATTTTAGTTATATCTTTTCGATCGACTTCGGTATGAATCTCTGTAGGTCCTTATGCTCCTTTCTTGAACCATCCGATGAAGATTGACCTAGCTATTCTGACTGTCACCACCGCCGCCAACACAGATCTTGTGAGGCCCCTAACCTTTGTAAAATCTATTAAGCCTGGTTTGGCAAGTGGTTTTTTTAGCCAAAAAGCCAAAAAGTCACTAAAAAAATCAAAAAGCCAACAACCCATACAAAAAAAAGTCAAAGATTCTCTTTTCTCTCTACTTTTTGTACATCTTTTCGTAAAAAGCGAAAAAGTTATCCCAAACATACTAGTTTTTTTACATCACATTTTAGCCAAAAAGCCAAAAAGTTACTAAAAAGCATGTTCCCAAATGAGGCCTAAGTCCTTGACTTTTGAATTCTTTTAATAAAGACCCTTACATCCTTATTTGTCTTCAATTTTAGTTATAGTGCCGAACATGTATACCAACCGAAAACTCGAAAGCCATGATTGAACCCAGAGCTCAAGAATCATTTCCAAAACCCTAATAATAATTAAATTAATTTTCTAATTATATTTTATACAAAAAATCCTAGGTTTTCAGTTCTCAGTATGATTCACCGTTTAATCCGAAATAAAGAAATTTTAATCGAATTGAATTTTTAAATCCTAATTAAATTAAATACTACACTTAATTAAATGTTCAAATTCATAAACTAAGATTTTAGCCCTCATATTTTTCTTGAATCACATTTTAATCCCAAACTAGTACCATTATATACCTATTTATACCTTAGATTTATTTTGTACACAAATATCTTCCAATTAGATACCATTTGTACACAAAAACAAACGAAAAAATCCCCTCAAATCCATCCAACATGGGCCGGCCACCCCATTGAATATACATATATGTACTTTGGAGACAAATTGCTTGATTTTAGGAAGAATATTTGACCAAAGTACAAATGCATTATGTATTTGTCTTGTACTTGTAACCAAGTTAGTTTACTTAATCCCTAACCCTAGCTAGATCATGTTTTGGTACACAATTAGGTTTCATAGTCATCCTATATTCCATTGAATTCAAACTAAATCCAAAATATCCAATCTATTTCCAACCAAAGGGCACTTTGGACTTTTCACACCAATTTTGCTATAAATACACCAATTCTCTCTACACTTGTGAGCAGAAAATACACTCATCCACTTACATATTTAACTGAGAGGAAAGAGAGGGCAAGAGAGTAAGTTGGTGAAAGAAATGAGAGAAAGAGAAGGTTTTGTTAGCAATTCAACCAAGACTCAAGTAAGCAACATTACCATCTCTCCTTCTATTTTCTTTTTCAAATACATGTTATTAGAGGTTTAAAATCATATTTTTAGATGTGTTGTAATGGTGTTCATGTGTACAAAGTTGATGAGTTGGGTTTTGATCCTTCTTCTACTCATATTTTCTCTTAATAGATGCAAAACTACCTATTTCTTCCCATGTCTCACATTATTTCCAAAGGCACACCATCTCTCTAAAAAACTGAGTTATTGAGACATTATTTAGTATGTTTTCATCACAAAAGAAGTGAAAAATTTCCCTCAGTTGGCCTCTTTTCTCACCTATCTTCTTATTTTGAGTATTATGTATGGAAAACCAATTTTTATAGCCAAATTTCAAAAATTCTAGAAACATGTAGAAAAATCTCCTAAACCTAAGTTTTTTGTCAAAAAATTCTTTAAAGAGTCAGCTTTCAAAGAAAATTAGTTTCATTAAAAAATAGGGAGCGGTTTGCAAGAAATTTCGATTTTTGAAACGGTCGACGAATCTGGACAGCGCTGGAGTGTTTCTTAAATAACTAAAAATCTAGAAAAGATATTCCATTTCTAAAAAATGTTGTGAAAACTACATAAAATTCTCTACAAACCATAGGAAGTCTAGGCTTGGAAAAAATCTGAAATGGTCTTTTTGAGTTTAATCTTTAAATGGTACTGAATCTGAAAATTTAGTTTTGCATTGGTATTCTAAGCACTTGTCTTCAGTATATGATCATGTCTTGGTATGATATTGCTTGTGTTATGGTTATGTTCTTTATCTTCTTCATTTGATGACACTCATGTTTATGTGGATATTACGATCTTGTTAAGTTGTTCTAACTTTAATTTAAGACGTCTAACTTAACGGAAACCTTAATTGGAATGGTATTGGATTTTCGATCACTTGAATAATGAAGAGATGATAATGTGTTATGTATGGATTGATCAGATGTGCTCCCTAATTAAAGGTTAAGTATTGCGCAAGCAGTTATCTCATAAATCCAAGAATGGAATGGACATATTTGAACTCTTTGCGGTGATTTGATTTGGTGAGATAAGGTTGGGTCTAGATGAGACATTTAGGAGGATAAACTTTTTTTTTTGGAAGGATAAGGTTGGATTCATGATGATAAAACTTTTTTTTCTATTTGCCGTCTCTTGTGAGGTCCACTGATGGCACTACGTGGTATGTAATCGTTGCAGGCATCCGTGATAAGTTCTGCAAAGAAGCAAAAGGGGGAGTTCCAAATAGTCCGATGTCTAATTCTTGCGGTTGGGGGGATGAAATCTCTTTGGGGGATTTCTAGATGAATAACATTTAACCTTGTTATCTTTTATTATTAAATGATTATCATGCTTCATTACTTGCTTGTTATAATTGTGATGGTATATTGAATTGGGAAAAATGGATGGGGTGTGTGTGCTTTATTGGGCATTCAAAACTTATGGCGTTTCATGCTAGTTATTGAGGACTATTAGATTGATTGAAGGCAAAGCTGAAGTATTTGAAGACGTATGGCCACCCTATGAGAGTTAGAAACCAGTTTGTAAACACATTTTGAGTTTGTAAGTGATTAATCGCTTGTTGTATTTAAGACATGATTTTGTAATTACTATATATATATCATTTGTAACCTATCATTATACTTCGTCAACTCATGTAGACCTTGTGTTAATACTCTGTCAAGATCTATCAAAAAAGGTAGTTTTGCTATCTAAAGTGGTCGGACTTAGAACGGAGGCTATATTGACTTGTCCGACCTTCTTGGGATCTTACTTGGTTATTAACCAAATGACACATTAGTGAAGCTTTCTTACTCTTGTAACCTTAGATAAACCCTGTATTTATTTATTAATATATTCTCTGATGTTCCTGATTTTTAGGGCATCACAGATCTAAGATTGTCGACCACACAAATCTCAGATCTAAGCGTGGAGTATGGTTTTCCTAGTGCGAAAAATTTGAGATCGTCGACCACACAGATCTCATATCTGAGCGTAGAGTATAGTTTTCCTGGTGAGAAAATCTTATATCTAATATCTGAAACTCACCGACACGTACACATACACACACACACATGTACATAGATGTCATTGCTCTCTCTCTCTTTTCATCATCAATATCTAATCTTCCAGTTAATCATTCTTGGACATCATTAAAGAAATTGTCTTTATTTCAAGTATGGTTACTTACGGATTTTATGTACAATCTTGATTTCTTATTTTGAAGTTTTGAGTTTGATTTTTTTTTAAGTT